ACAAAAAAAAAAAAGCGAAGAGACGGAAAGCGGGAGAAGGAAACAAGGTCTTACAAGCAACGCCAGCGCGAGAAAACAGGAAACAAAAGAAGAATTATGGCTTTTATTCATTATTTAAAATAAACAATTGCGGGTATACACGTGAGCAACACCCTACACTACGCAAATTCTTTCTCTCTCTCTTGCTCCTCTCTCACTTCAGTTTTCTCGCGACAACCTCTTTACTTCCTATCCTTTTTTTTTTTTTGTTCATCACTCGCGAAACACGTTGTATATAGTATATGTATAGGTAAGTTACGCAGCACATACGTAGAACAATAGATCAATAACAGTCAACCTGACACACGAGCAGCAGCAGTACACACAACACGGCTATTCGCTTTGGCCTAAAACACACACGGTGCCCGTTACAGCGCGGCCTTCGTGTTGATTTAGGCGTGGCGAGAAAAAGAGCAGAACTCTCGCGCGCACGTTCAATAAAAACGTAACGATACCGTTATATTCATTTGATTCTTTCAATTACATCCCATACCGTGGCACCCTTCTGTTGGCTAAGTTGGCGCTGAATCGCTTACCCTCTTTGGCCACCCACATTAGGTAAACGCTCAAGCGAATCAGCCGCCACGCCCGGAAAACGCTGTAAGCCCGCAGCACTGCGCCATTAACGGCATCGGGGGTGCGGCCGAGACGAATAGCGCGCCCATTTACAGGAACATACATACAGACACATCAGTCGCAAGAGATAAGCGGCAAACAAAAAACAAAACAACAACAACGTGACGGCGGGAACAGCTCTTTAGAAGCCGACGACAGGAGGAGGCCACGATTCACTGTCCCTAGCGCGCCTCAACCCGTCTCATTCGCCTCTCCTGTCGTCAGCCGCCAAGTCGCAAGCAGGATCAGCACTTCGCAGGCGGAAATGTGAACACACACGAACACACCAACGAGAACGACCGAACAGAAAGAGCGAAGTGTGAGGGAGGAAAAAGAAACATTTCAACGCGATCGGTCGCAACACAGAACAGCAGAGAAAGCTCGCAAATGCCAAGTGCTCGCGCTCGGGGTTGGCTTTACTCTTTGTTCTTTTTTGTTTGTTTCTTTCTTTGCTATTCCGTCCACATCTGCTCGAGTCGATGGCCCGCTTCGACGCTTTCGTCCGTGCGCTGCCTTTGCGATGTAATAACCCTTGTTGCTACGGAGCTAAGGTAAACACGAAGACGGCTCCCATCGTCTCTGTCGCGGCCGTGCTTGCAGGTCGGGGCGAGCGAATCCGGACGAACAGCAGCCAACAAGCGGTAGTAGTAGTAGTACGAGGGACGAAGCTGCCCTTTTTTTTCGTTAATGCGTCGCTAAACACGGACGACCCGAGCCGGCATCGCACGCGTATATATACAAGGCGATAACGGCGGCCTAGCGAGCGTTTGTTTTCGGCACGAGAGCGAGCCACTACGCTTGAGAACACGGGACACGTAATTGGTTCTCCACTTCACGTTAGCTAAAAGCAGTAGCTAAACGGAGTGATGCAAGGCTTGTAAAAGGTGTCGCGAGGAGATTGAACCGATAATTGCGACACAGTCTGAGGTATTGACTTACGGTTGCGCTTCCCAAGATTAAAGCACCCTCGTAAAAAGAACGCCCAGCTCAGATATTTACGCGAACATGGACAACTTGCCTATGTGTGTCATAAGCAGCATATGCGTGTAGAATGGTATTAACAGGTTGCCTCTTTAAAATGTTTTTTTCACGAAAGCGAGCTGACCTGCTTTTGAGAAAGAAAAATTTCTTTCTTGAAACGTCATAAAGAAAAGCGAGAGCAAAAGAAGAAATAAAAGCACTCAAGCCACTCCGCGTAAAGGTATGAGAACACACTTTCGAACCGACCCGCCTGGTCTGGTTACACCAGATAAGATAGCACGAGAGGAAGCACCAAGGTCGTGATAAGAGGGGGAACGATGGAGGAACTCCGCGAGCAGAACCCGAGACACAGCGGGAAAAAAAAAGAGAAGTTAATCACATTAACAGAAACAAATAAGTGTACAATCTAATCTCAACGTATAATTAAGTGATATTTGACACGTACTTTAGGAGCGCAAGAAGGAAAAAAAAAAGGGGGGGGGGGACACGCCACGCACAACACCACATTACCAATTTCATCAAACTATACCTATATAGAAGAAATGTTTCTTCAGGCGTACCTTCTAAGCATGATACACACACAAAAAAATAATTGTAGCCGTTCCCGTGCACGCAACGAGCGGCCCGTAGCGCTGGCGCGAGCGAACTATCGGGAGCGCATTCCGCAATCCAGATATTGCAGGGAACAGCGCTTTAAAGTGTTGATTCTCCTCGACGTTACGTGAAAGACCGCAGCGTGATGTCCACGAGAGGCAATAGGTTCGCATCTGTACCTTTACTTGGGGACTGTGCTGTATAAGCAGCGAAGGCACGTGCTCCCTTGTGTCGATCGGGACTCGAGGCAGCGTCCACTCCACCTGCCAGTTATTCTTACTATGCTGCCCAGAACACAGTCTAACCCATATTAGAACACAGTCTAACCAAGAAGAGACACACGGCGAAACTTCGTGGGTGCGCGACCCACGAGTTGTTCGTTAAGGCGAGACTGTTTAAGATATGAGCGCTGCCGAGTGATACTTTACGGGAAAAGTTTTCGATCAGCGCCGTTGCTGATACAACGATCCCGCGCAGTGGATACGCTAAAGGTCTGAACGTTACTTGGGAGAAAATCGGCGCCGACAAGGCTAGAACGATTACCACCGACGACCGGCTGTTCTCACAGGCTTCTACGTGACGGCCGTAGGCGAAGAGCCGTTCATCAACGCTGCTAAATGTTTCGGCTGGTTTGCTGCTCGCGAAGAAGAAGAAGAAGAAGAAGAAGAAGAAGAAGAAGAAGAAGAAGAAGAAAAAGAAAAAGAAAAGAAGAAGAAGAAGAAGAAGAACGAAACACGGCGAATGAAGGCGCGGAGTGGATTGAGTGTTAGGTAAGAGACAGCCGCTTCCAATATGACGTGCACTGTCGCTTGAACGACCTCGAATGGTTTTCTGATCTCTGAACGAACCATCATAGCCTTCACGCCCAAAAACGCTTCCCGAATACCTACAGCACTAGACAGGCTGCTTTTGATTAAGTCACGAAACCCTGCTACTGCTGCGGTTCTTTCTCAACCTGTGCCTCGAATCACGGCGTGAAGAAAAAGGCATCGTTAAGAACAAACTTTCTCCTTCTCCATAACAATAGTAATAATAATAGAAAAACATGCAAGAGCATGAGGCAGTATGACATCAATAAAGGCTTATCTTAGGGGGGGGGGGGGGGGGGGGGGGGGGGGGGGGGGGGGCTTGTGTTTAAAACTGGCGGGCGAAGGACGACAGATCGAACGGCTATGGATGCGGGCTTGATATACATATAGATAGGCTACCCTGGGAACTCCTGGGTCTTGTAAAAACGCGAGGTAAAGTAATCGAAAAACGAAAAAGTAGGTGCGGCCGCACGAACGCGTAGCCCTTCTCCGACTGCGACTATACTGCCCCGGATAATTCACCAGAGCAATGAAGGCAATGTGGTAGGAGAAAAAAAATAAAGATCAGCACAGCAAGGAAGAACGCCGCCGAAACATCAGTCTGGTGACGGCTATAGCGCTATAGTATATGTGTGTCTATACATATATATCTCTCTATATATACTTTTTTTTTCTTTGCGTTGAACAAGACAGTTTCGTCCTGGATTTTTTTATACGGGAACAAACGCTCACTGTATATACGTGAAAAAACACGTTCAACAAACGTACACGGTACGGGTAGCTATTGATAACTTGTATATACGCTTTTATGGTCAGCTTTCCTGCCTTTTACAATAACCGTATACTTTACGCAATTCACTATAGGAACAGAAGCAGCGGACGGAAATAAAAAAAGAAAAAGGCGCAGGCAGGCTGATAGGTATGAAGGCGATACGGACGCTTCAATAAATTATGCGCTAAAGCAGAAGCAGGACAGTTCAGTATGTACACAAAAGAATGGAGAAGGAACGAAACAAAGCCATTACTGAGATTCTTTGGCAGGGCGCATACAGGAGACATGGCTGCGACCAATATCAACGAGACAGGGTATAGCAATGGCAGTACAGCAAAGAAAAAAAAAGCTATACATAAAACGATCGGCGCGGGAAGTAGCGCGCCAGGATGCAGGGCCGCCTCTGAACAGAGGCTTCTTTCCTCGTTCACGAGAAACGTCCAAACAATGCTCATTCACTTTCATTTCCATCGTTACGCTCCTTGTGCGTTCACTCTTCCAGCAGCGCGGCGTTTTCTGGCGACGCCTATGTCATTACGGATGTATTATCGTGTTCTCCCAGTCACGGCAACGCGTGCGATCCTCTCTCAACATGAGCGGACGCGCATGCGCAGAGACCGTTTGGGATCATATTACCGAACGCCTTTTGACACGATGCGTTATCGGGAATGTGCGAATACGGCGAATGGTATAGATGTTCAAACAGGGGGAGGGGGGGTATGATACAGACACTTCATCGGAGGTACGCTTGTACGGGCTCTTGCACCTCCGTAAGTGAAAAGCCCCCCCCCCCCCCCCCCCCCCTATATTTTTGAAACAGACAAAGGTTGAGAAGTCTGCGAAACAATCGCACCCTTTCTTCGAAAGCAACGCGAAACAACGAAAACAAAAACACGAAAAGTTACGCGGGAAGCTAGTACGCAGTACTCGCTCTACCTCGCCTGGCATCGGAGTTCGAAAGCTTACTGAGCGTTGCTACTTCCAAGTAGGGAGGGCATCCCACACTTGAGGTATCATAACTTGAAGCGTCCCCGTCAATATCAGCGCATACGAGTGACGCCGGGATTGTTGCGACAAGTGTCACACCGTGAGGGCACGTCTTTGGCGGACGGTGGCGCTTCGTCGAGTATCGTGTACCCGATGGGCGTTCCCGACAGCCGGTTAATTGAAATGCGTCACTAAACCGCTGCTGCAATATGCAGATGGCGAGGTTTTATTCGACCGCGCTAAACACTGCACTTTTGCCACACTTTCAACATGAAACACAGATGTACAGCCGTCAATGACTGAGACGCCGAAAATGCGACAGCGTGAGCGTTCAGCACAGGCTGCCGCGTTTGCAACACGCGTCTGCCATATTCTAGTCATGCGGAGGTTGCACGCTCGAATTCCTTCTCAAACTGCGGCATTGCAACACCCCAGTCTTTGATGGGCTGTAGTACAATTTTTATTCTGACTATAGTCACTAACGTTGCTCAAGCATGGCTTTCACATTGTAACACTCAGCAGAAAAGCAAAACCTCTTCAAGCCGGAAGCCCTCAGCTAAAAGGAGGCACAGGATTGTGGTCCGACACGGTGCATTTCAATTCAACGTACGGCCGATGTCAAGGCTGGACTACGTGATGGCACTCGTGCTTATCATGTCTGCCGAATATTCAAGACGCCTATGCACCAAGTTTATGCATCGAACCATTCCATATTCAGCCATTACGAAGACAGTATTTTTATCCACGCTACGACACTCGAAGCATATAGTACGCGTGGTCACACACAGGAAAATGAAAAAAAAGGAATACAAACAAGCAAAATGAGCTCTTAGATAAAGGGATGAACTTCCGCAACAAGTAGTCAAAAGGGTGTGAGTGAGCTCCAGCTTCAAGAGGTTTCGTAAGCGTGATACTTTTGCGGAACGCCAAGCCCGATATGTAGGAAACCGCGTGCTCGGGATTGCCAGTTATCGCGGACAAATTTCAATGCAAGCTTTTCGGCCAAACAGCAAGAGCGATCACGACAATTTCGATAGTGACGGTGGACAACCGTGGCACCTTGCCATGCGAGGCCCGGATGGCATGGTGCACGGGAGGACAGGCGTCGCCGCTCACAGAGTGATGCCGACACTGCGACCGTACTCACCGAGCGCGGGCGCGGCGGGCGACTGAGCGGCCACCACAGACGATGTCGAGCCCGGTTTGGAGCCCACGAAAGAAGACTCCATCCACACGGCCGGTCTGGCGGCACCGTTCGACGAAGTAGATGGCACACCGACGTCACTGATCACCGAGGCGCAGACGGCCGTCGAATCGTCCTCGCGTTCCACGTTCCAACCACCACCGTCCCCGTAGATGCCTTGAACGTATGAGTAGCGGTCCCGAGGAATGCACGGCGACGCCGATTGCTGGTGCTGCTGTCGGTGCTCTTGCTGTTCTTGTAGCTGCTGCTGGTGATGCTGCTGTTGCTGGTGGGCGTACTCGAGAGCCGACGGCGTAGTCCAGCCGCCTCCAGGAGACACAGGTCGGCTACCAGCGGAAGACAGAGGAGTCGTGGTACCGGTACTGGGAGCGGCACGCCAGCCGAGGTACGGCTGCCGCATGGATCGGTAGGACCAGGCCGCTGCAGGGGCACTGCTCACGCTTCCCCAGCGGCTGAGGGAACCGCCTCCATCGTGCGATCCGGGGCTGGACGTGAGGGACTCGCGCGACGCATGCCAGCATCGCCAGTCTGGCGCTGTCACTCGCTTGGGGATGACCAGGTTCCGGCTGTCAGGAGTGGTGGCTGCCAGGCTCGCGGTCGAAGGCGTACGGCTGCCCAGCCCTTGCCAGCCTGATCGGCCCGTAGAGGAGACGGAGTCGCGACGCGACCGCAGGATGCCCGTCTCGGCTTGCTTGGCGCGCCGCGTGTACCATTCGGGCAGCTCTAGCTTTTGGAGCGAGCGCTCGATGCGGAGCTCGTGTTCGGACTTGGTTCGCTGTTCGTCGCCCAGCAGCGGGCAGCCCACGGTGCCGTCCTCGAGGAAGCGGTCCATGCTGCGCGTGCGGTTCAAGTAATTGTCGTCAGCTCCGTCACTGCAGTTCTGGCCGGTGTCTTCTTCGGCAGCGCAGGTGGATGCTTTCACCTGGCGACAACAGAGCGTGTCCACGTCAGTCTCGAGGTAGCCGAGGCTCCTGCTGCGGCGGCGTTCATCGTGCGCGGGCTGTCCGCAGCGGCGTCGCGCGTAGCGGCTGCGCGTCTGCTCGACGAGCCGGTTGAACTTGTCTGGATGCACCGCCGGCGCCGGGCTCCGGGGCGGCAGCACTGCGGCGATCGGTTCAGATCCTGTCGCCTGCCGCGGTGCACACTCCGTTGAAGGAGGCGGCCATCGATCGTGCAGCCTGCGGCTGCGCCAAGCGTCCGCCTCGAGCGCCGCCAGATCCGGCGAGCTCTTGGCGAGATTCTCGCGCGCCGCCTGCGCGCTAGCGCGGAATCCAAGCAGTCGCTCCGCGGACTCTTCGGCTGTCGTGCACGGAGCAGCGGACGCGTCGTTGGGGCGCTTCTGCTGCTCCTGCTGCCGCTGAAGGTTCTCGAAGAATCGTCGTCGCGACGACACGAGGCGACCAGTAGCCGGCGACATGTGTGGTTCGGGCAGTTCCACTTGAGGTTTGGGTAGCGTCTGAGCCAGCCGCCGCGCCGTCGCGTAGCCCGTGATGCGTTCGAGGTGCTCGGCTGGATCGAGTGGAGACCGGGATCGGGGCGGGGGCACTGGCTTGGGTGGCCGGAGAAGCGGCTGCGAGGCTGGTTGTTTCTGCTGCTGAGGAACGGGCGGCGGCTTGCGATGAGACACTGGGCCCGTTCTTCCATTGACAGGAAGAGTAGCTGGTCTTTTGTTGTTGCAATGACCGTTGCTGACTTTCGGCGTACTTGTTATGACAGGCCCATCGCAGTCATCAGAGTCGGGAATGTTGTCGACGATGACAGCGTTGCTCTTCACGGGAGTTTGTAGTACACGAACACGATCTTCAAGTAGCACGGGGGACGGCGTCGAACTTGTCGGGGGCGAACTGTCAGCTCGAGTTGGCAAAATATTCGAATGAACGTGAAATGAACGTTGCTCGCAGGGCAGCGGCTCGCGTTCCAAAAGAGGAGACACGTCACCTTCTTTGTGATGACCGTTCACATGTTCCCTGCTGCCGCTGGACTTCTTGAGGTGTAGCGACGAAAACTCCTTGTAGCGCACGGGAGTCGGCAGCCGTACGTCAGAGCGCGCCGATGAGGTTTTGTAGACTGGTGACGATGAGACGGAGACGATGTCGTCCGCAGGCTGGCTTCGCGCGTGCCTGGCCCGGTCGACGGCATCTTCGGAGCCGCCGACCGAGCAGGCAGTGCGCACTACGACGTCCAGGTCTGGTGGAGGAGCGAACTGCTTGCACCCAGCGTAGATTTCGCGCGACGCTTCAGCACTCGCCGTGGTTGCTGCTTTCGCTGTGGCTACGGCCAGCGCAAGGAACGGATCACGCGACTGCGCCCGCACTGATGCCAGGGCGGACGCGCGGCTGGGTTCCGTCGAGCTACCGCCGCGGGATCGCGCGACGGCGCGCGAGGTTGCTGTCGCGCTCACTGTTCCCGCTCGTTGTTTGTTGTGGCGCGCGGCCGGCGGGCTTTCCAAGTGAAAACTCACATCCTCCTCTTCGATAAATTCACTTTCAATGCCTTCTAGCTCTTCGTCGTCTTCCAAGTCGCACGACGTGCCTTCGTCGTCGTACGCGGCAATCGGCGGCGTCTTCTGCTGCCTCCAGCGATGATACTCGCGCTGCTGACAGACGTCGTTGGCCGCACTGGAGACGACGGCTGGGTTCACGCTGCCGCCATAGAGAAAGAAGAAGACAAGAGCGGACACTCCGCGAAACCTGGCCTCAGGAAGTGCGTCACGACTACGTAACGAACTAGTGCTCCCACCACACGTCAGAGGGCGCAAGCGCAAAAAAAAACACAGTTATAATCAATGCAACAGAATTGTTTTCACAAATTAATAATTACACGCCCAAATTTGGTATGTTCTTTATACATAAAAACGATTTATTCAACACACCTTACGCGATTATTTTTCTTCAGCCGTACTGTCATAAACACCATCTATCCAGCGACAAGCCCATGCATGACTGACAGCGAGACGCTTTCGTCGCTTTCGTCAACGTCGGCTGCGTCGGCGTTTTCAAGCGTGAGATAACAGGTGAGGCACGTTTTCAAGCGAAGCTTGTTGAATGACATGTTGTTGGTCTTGTTGGGTCATTTTTTCAGAAAACGGTTACGCCTGCGCGAAAAAGACACCATGCAACAAACATAGAAAGATGCACACACACACGTTGCGCTTCGTGTGTGCGAGTTTGTTTCTTACGTGGCGTGTCATTCACGCAGTTGTAACCTTTTTCTGAAGCTTGTAAGGACTGGGAGGTTCGCTAAAAAGAAAGTTTGTGGCTCTATGCGGCGGTTAGACGGGAACATTGTGCAACGTATGCAGTATAGAAAAGGCGGCACGGCGTCAAGCCGAGGCGACGCGTGCTGCGTCTGCCACGGACGCGAGCGTCTGTGCGCTGAGCATAGCTGGGCAGCTAGGTGGTAGGCTCGGTGCAAAATATTGAGAAGCGTTTGTTGGGCCTCGCATGCTTCACGACGCATTTCCCGAAGGCTCGGAACACGAATAATTCTTGGTGTGCCGGAGGCAAATCTGGACTAGCCAAGTGGCCATCATCTTCGTTTCTTCGCTAGCCTTGTGCCACTAGTGCAAGCTGCCCACAAATTTTTTGACGTTTCCAATATAATTTTACCGCACAAATTTCAACTACGATTTTTCTTCCCAATGTACTGCTGATACTGCGTACGCACGAAGGTGTTCTAATGTTCCCAGGCCGCGATACCATTGCATTACAAGGGATAGCGGCCTGGAAACTTCTGAAGATCTTTGTTCGTGGTCTTGACGTATATCTTTGTAAGTCAGAGTTTTATGGGTCAGAGATGTATCACTGGTTTTGTATTGTGCATCGATTAGCTAATCATTCAAAGGGGTTTGCTGGTACACTTATGACGTGCACATATCTTTTTTGTAATTTGACAGCGAAGCATCCACTTACTAACATTTTCAGACCGCGCTGACGCCATGCCGTCCGGCGGTCCAAGCTACGGCAGCTACTGCTGTGTATCGTGGTGCTTCAACAATGGCAGAACCCACAAGAAGCCTGGGACGAGTTTCTTCCGCGTACCACGGGACGGCAGGTGTGTTAAAGCTTTTGTATGGTTTGCATGTCTGTAGGCTTACTGTTCGTACTTGCTAAGTGAGGGTAACAATAAAAAATCACTATTCAAGCACTTCCCCTTTCAGCTGATAGTTCATTGCCAATGCAGGATGAAAGCATGGATGCAGTATGCTGGACGCGATGATCTCCTGAGTAAGCCGGCCAGCCTATTGTACGCATCGTACAGGGTTTGTAGCGACCATTTTACTGCTCAAAGTTTCATGGACCCTGGGCACACAAGGCTTACAAGAATGGCTGTTCCCAGTGTGCAACCAGCTGCACCATGTAAGTGATTGACTGAAACTCAAATATGTGCAATAGCAGCCACTTGTATTGAATCAGTGGCGACAGTTAACCGTGAAGATCTCTGTAGCCGATAGAGAAACCTCACTACAGAAGTAACACTTGGAAAGTCTTAAGTTCTGTGAATTGTGGGCTATTACCTTCCTAACAGCAGCTTTACATTTCTGTCATTTTTTGATGCTCTGGACCTGCGCAACTTGTTTTGAAAGACTTTAAAGGGCTATTTCACGTTATCTTCAAGCCTGAGTGCACATGTACGTATACCTTTCATCAGTGAAAGCTGCCACTGTTGATAATTCCAAAAATCACAAATTACTTGTTTCCTAGTTGGTGCCGTCTCTTTTCTTCCACGTTCGACCAATTTATGCGTTTGAAAGAGCTGTTTAAGCTTCCCCATGCTACAAGCTTTGTAACTTGTACCAACTGCACATATATGCAGGTTCTCTGAGCGTCGCTTCAAGTAGTGACTGTGACATGGCTGCAGAAGCTGCACTGCAAGGTGCGGATGAGCTTCAGTTTGTGTTATTATAAGCCTCTTACTGACACATTGTCGTAATTTCATCTCTTCAGGACCTGCGGTAGAGGCTTCAGAAAGCGGCTCCCACACATTGAGGTGCCCCGATGAACAGGGTGCGTTCAGTGTCGCGATTTCTTTTTTTTTTACCCAAATTGACTGTTGACCAAACCTCTGCAGGTGGCAGCTCCCTTGTAGCTGGTGAAAGAATTTCTGATGATTTCGTCTTGCCGGAGAAAACCTTAACCAGTCGTTCAGCTGTCACAAAAGGAACTTGTGTGGCCGGTAAGTTGTATGTTCACTTCAACACCAGAGTGGATTGATATAGAGACTTCCGCAGGCCGCTCGCAAGATTGTTCCGACAGCATTGTCCGAGGCACTGAACAAGCTTCACAAGACCCTCCAGAAGACGTCTCCGCCAACAGCTCCACGCCTGAGTGCCTTAGAGAAAATGGTGACTATGCTTTTATTGCAGCAGTTTTTAATGTGCTATTTTATGTTTAGGACATTCTGAGGAAACTATCCTCAAAAGGACACTACGTGTGCACTTACAAAATGTAAGGGTGGGCTCTCAGTGATTTTCATTTTTTTTGTGCATTGTCAACATTGTGAATGGTTTGTTTTTAGGTAGTGGAATCGAAAACTTTGTACCACAGAAAGTTTCAGACCTTGGGTCTGAAAGAGCGAGGAAAGTGCTCGTATGGGATTAGTTGTTCTTCGCTTTTACATCAATTTTTTTGTTTATTGCAGTGCGTTCCTGTGTGCCAGCGACAATGTCTCCATCAATGAAGTACAAGCAAACCATTAAACATCTGCAAGCCAAAGTAGCAGCACAGCGGAAAACTATCAAAAGACTGCAGAGACAGCCTCACCAAGCACCGTCATCGACTACGAAGGCCCTTGAAGTTATCCGACCGCACGTCACCGAGGAGGTTTTTAAACTTCTTTCTGCACATGTTCGCTTGAGGCCCAAATGCAAGGGCAAGCGGTTTCCCGTGTGGTTCAAGAAATTCGCTCTTCACTTAAACTTCCGAGGTCCGCGAGCATACCGATTTCTGGCTCCGTATTTTTCTTTGCCCTCCCGGCGTTCATTAAGGAGGTGGCTAGCTAATGTAAAGATGACTCCAGGCATAATTCCAGGAATCCTTTCTTCCATTGCAACAAATACTCAAGCTTGGAATGAACGGGACCGAGTGTGCGCTTTAGTTTTCGACGAAATAGCACTCAAAAAGAATTTGTACTATGATGCTTCAAGAGACGTTGTCCAGGGTTTTACAGATGATGGCACTCATCGCACTTCAACCATCGCTGATCGAGCACTGGTTTTTCTTCTTGTTGGTGTTTCGAGAAAGTGGGTTCAACCGGTTGCTTTTACTATAGGGCACACATCAACACCATCATCTGTTATGCATAACTTGCTGGTGTCACTCATTTTGGAGCTTAGGAGCATTAATATTGCAGTGAAAGCAGTCATTTGTGACCAGGGCAGTTCAAATGTAAGTCTCGCTAACCAACTAAAAGTGACTGTAGCAAAGCCTTTTTTTGAAGTTAATGGTGAGCGGGTATATTACATTTTTGATGTTCCGCATTTAATTAAAACAACGCGCAATAATGTCCAAGCACACAAGTTATACATTGGGGATGACATCGTTAACTGGTCGCACATTGTAAGCCTTTACCAATCCTCACATGAGTTGCGGTTGCGATTGGCTCCAAAGTTGACTGAACGGCACGTTCATCAGAAACCTTTTTCTAATATGAAGGTCAGCAGAGCAACTCAGGTCTTCAGTGCATCAGTTTCGATTGCTATCACGGCAATGGTGTATGCGAAGGTGCTGCCTGCCTCGGCCATCACTACAGCTCAATTTTGTGATCGTATGGACAGGATTTTCGATGCCTTGAACAGCTCGAGTAAAAAAAGAACTTCGCAAAAGCTGCGGCATGCAATCATGAAAAATGATTCAGAGCTGATTGACTTCCTCCGAGGCCAGCTTCCCTGGATTGCATCATGGCAGTTTGTTGGCAGACGTCAACCACAAACCATCGTAGGTTGGCAAATTACAATTCAGGCAATTTGTCAACTATGGGACGACCTCTCCAAAAATTACAATTTTGAATACCTGTTAACACGCAGGCTTCAACAGGATCCTCTGGAGAACATATTTGGCCACATTAGGCAAAAACAGGGTTGCAACACCAACCCCAATGTAGCACAATTTATTTGTGGCCTGAAGCACATCTGCATAAGAAAACTCTTCAAGCTGTCAGAATACGGAAATGTCGAGGATGATGAATGTGACCTCCTCCAGGAACAGCTGTCGCCATTCTCCCTCACCAGTGCGTCTCTTGTGGATAATGAGGAGTGTGCACAGCCACAGCCTGACGACTTTCCCGCTCTAGACGATCTCTCTGAACTTGCGACAAACATTCACTCCCATATTATCGATGACTCCGCTGCATATTATGTAGCTGGTTTTCTCATCAAACACTTCCTTCGGAATGCATGTGACGGTTGCAGTTGCCCACAGTTACTGAAAGACGACAGTGAGACGCTTAAGGGTACCCACCAGTATTTCACAATGCTCAAAGCATACCACGTCCCCAGCAAACTTTTTGGGAATCTCACTGTGCCATCAGAAGCAGCTTTTGCATACGTACAACAACTTGAATCTCGCTTTCTTGCCATAATTGAGGCCACTGCACATCACCTGAAAGTGTGCGATGTTTTGTATCACCATCTGTCAAGTGTTGGCGATTTTCATTTCTGCTCTGCTGGGTGTCGCGCTAAGTTTCTGAAAATTTTTTGCCGGGTTCGTTTATGTTGGCATGTGCGTTTTGTGAACCGAAACTTAGACAGGGTTAGGTTCCAGTCTTCAATCTCGGGCATGCAGCTTGACAAGTTCAAAGGTTAGCAATTAGCGGCGGGTTTACACTAAAGTATTGGAGTTGAGCCGAATCCTGCAATAGCTTTGTTATGTTATTACTTCGTTACAGCAGACTTCATTATGGTCTTATATGCTTATATTCAGTTCAACTGGACTAACCACTCCTTCGTTGCATTCATTGTTTTGGTTACCCGCTATGAGGAGTACAAACACTGTGTATTCGCTCGAAGTGATTTGCATAACCTTAAAAAGAATGTTGGGCATCCTGTCTGTATTTTTTGTAGCAAATACGGGCGAACTGTACACTTTACTGTGGGTCGCTTGGTCACTGTGTATGCTTTATCTCTCCAGCTCAAGTAATATATCGATAACAAAACCGCTTGTTGAAATGTCTTCGAGCGGGTAAGGAACACAGTATGAAGTGGGCACGGTTCATGTTATCACGCTTTTCGTATTTTAGCTTCTCATCAACCTCCTCATCTTGCCCATCAAAATTTTCAAAAGAATACCCAAACTTGTAGTGTTTGATGGGGCTGCGGACGCTGCCATTTTATTTTTATATAGCTTGTGAGTGATAACGTACGATGTAGAGCCTTTGTGAAAAATAATGAGCCAAAGTGGTTTCCTTCTGCTATTTATTAGCCCTGTAATACCGCTCTCGTAGCACCAATTAAAGTCCACAATTCTGGATAAAGTGATGACTACAATCTATTTTAGCTCGCAAGCGTCACAGCAACACCCAAACGCAAATCACTTGGGATCTTAAGTTTTTGATGAAGGCGACGCATAACAAAAGCCACAAGACCTGCCAGTGTTGTAGCATAAAGTTTGTCTTTCACGTAGTGAGCAAGCTGCAAAGCCCTACCTTTCTGAGGACAAGCAGGCATCAAGTCTGCTTTTTTTTCATTTTGGACTAGCTGTTCTTAAGCACAGCCAGCACACTGCACCTTTGCCTTTCCGTTATATTGTGTCGTGTGGTTTCTGTGCGCTCTTTTTTCTATGCATTATTTCAGTTAAGCCCAGGCGTGATTCGCGACTTCATTGCTGTGTATATGTCACTTCTTCCTTCTTCATCAGCATTGTGCGCTATGTTTTTGCCATAGATCCTTAGTTACCCACTGGCCCGGTGTGTCATACTTCACCAGTTTCTCGGCTTCTGCCAACTCTAGCGATGTGTGCGTTGTCTGTGTTCTCTATGTATTTGTTACAATATTTGTTACAATTTATTTGTAAGGCGAGATGCATTTGTTGTCTACCTTTGTCATATTGTGCTTTTTATATTCTCATACTCTACCTTGCCTTTGAATAAAACATTGCGGATGCTCTGTTTCTTTGACTGATATATACATTGATCACTTGTTCCAAAAGAAAAACACAAGCGCGATGAATAAAACGATAGTGAATTATCATTACCTGCATCTCTTTTTTTATAACTTAATCAAAATAAAAATTACGTCACGACCGATTCGCACGAACCACTGAACAAAACAAAACAGGGAATCGCTAAATCAAAACGACCTACAAAAACTATCCATTTGGGCGATGAATAGTGGTCTGAAATTATGAACTTACGACATAGCCAAACGTCGGTTATGCAAAGTAATTCAAAAGTTGCGCCAGTGAAACCGAAACCGGAAGCGCAAGCCACTTGCTCTCATCAACCACTAGGTGTGCTAGAGTCGATTGGGCCGCTGGGGTCTACGGGAGTGTCCACTCTTCACCTTTTTTATTTCTCTATGCTGCCGCCGACATTCCTTACTCCACTGCCGCCGGCGCTCTCTTTCTTCTGCTTCCCACTTTCCCGCGTTGCCGATTGGCGCCTCTGAATCGCCTCTTCCGGTTGACGCTTACGCGCTCCGTCCACAGAGGGCAGCACCCGACGAGTCGGCTGCGGCGGCGCACTTGTCTTGGCTGCAACGTCGGCTTGGCGCGCTTTCGGCTGCGGCGTCGTCTGCTCTCGAACCACGGTTTTTTCGACGTCGCTGCTTTTCACCAGGGGCGTGCATCGCTCCGTAGTTTCCGTGCTACTCGTTTCACTCCACGATGTCTGATTGACGTTGTTGAGCTTGGCAATGCGCGTTCCATTCCGGTAGTACTCGTAGCTATCCTCGCGCCGCACGCTCTGTGACACACAAATCTCCGTCTGCACAAAGCTCAACGTCGAGTTACCGTCGCTGTCGCGGTGCATGCCGTTCATGTTTTTGGTCCGGCGTTCTTCAGCCACTCCTGCGCGGCTTTCACATCGAGGCCCGGGAGGTGAATGAGTGCCGTTTCTGTTGCCGCCACCGCCACTGTCGACGAAGCATTGCTGGTCCGCCGAGCGGCCGTGGCTCTTGCGCGAGCTATCGATCGCCGACTCCCAGCTCAGACTGCTGGGGGGCGAGATGTCGCTCGAACTCGAAGTGCTGTCTCCGTCCAAGTAACCCGAGTCATCCAGGTCAGCCTCGGCGTTGTTCTGTTGATGGTCCCCATGGTAACTAGCAGAGTTTCGATTTCGGCCATGCCCGCTCGAGTAGTCATCGTCTTCGCTACCAGATGACGCTGAGAGGTCTTTGAATGTGACGTGCCGCACGATAGATGGCGCGCTGTGTCGGGTCTCTGTCGCGAGAGCGCTTTTGCGGATCGCGGCGGCTCGGCCGTTGTTTACGCCTTTGCCCACCGGTTTCGGAATCGCGTGGCTGCCGGCGTTCACCTGATTGTTGTGGTGGTCAGCTGTTGGCAATCCTTCGCCGCCGGCGACGGAGGCGCGACACGCCGCAGGTTCAAACTGCTGATTTTTGGCGTTCGGTCCATGACCAGTGCTTCCGTGATTATCGACGTCGTAAACCTGTGCGTTGTCGTCGCTCACACTTCGCGCACGGCCGTTGACACACCGTGGCTTGGGAGCCCGCTCCGGCGAAGAAGGCAATATCACTGCACCTCCGCGGGGATTACAACTGGGGCCTTTTCTGTGGGCGTCGGTGTAGATGACCGCGGTTGCAATAACGGCATCAGCGGGAACCGCTGATGGAGCAGTGACATGATTCGAAGGCTTTGTCGATGAGGAGTTGGGTTGCGTTTCGGAATGGTCGTGGTGCTTGTTGGTGGCGAAGCCGTTGGTGACTCCGGCGGCGGCTCTGTTCAGTTCAACCACAGAGCCGCACTCGGATGGGTAGGACCACCAGCTCCCCGAGTCGGAGTCCTCTTCGCCGATGGATGAGGCCGACTCCAGCCTGGTGGAGTCGCTGCTGTAACTGCCGCCTGCGCTGCCGCCGCTGTAGCCTTCTTCCGGCGCTGCGATGCCGGCGGCGCCGGGAACGCACAGAACGTGCGACTCCCAGCGCGGTACGTCCTGCTGCGTCATGACGACGCCGCGCACCAGAGCATCACGGGAGGACTGCTGTGTCGGTGAGCAGCAGCTGCAGCAGTGTCGTCGAGAGTGCTGATCCGGCCTTCACCTTGTTTTTGAGCGGCACTTGGGCGACGACGGCGGCGGCGCAGCGGCCCGCACAGCTGCGTCGTTCGTGGATGCTCCGACGCAGGCGAATGCACGCGCGAGCCACGCGCGCGCCGGCGCTTCTGCGCCACAACCGCTGCTGCACCGCTGCTTGCCGCCGTTCTCTCTCAGCCGGTGGGATGAAGAATCGGCAACCTGTGAGGAGCGACCGTCCGCTACCAACGCCGGCCTGCGTCGCTCTGTCCGTGCGGGAGAACAGCCGAGCGGCGAGTCGCCGACTCGTGCGGCGAAGCCGGCTTCCGGAAAGGGTCTGCTGCTCCGCTTTTCTTCTCAGTGGCTGGCCAGCCGCTGCTACCCGCTCTCCTCATTGTGCGTTGTTCTTGTACGCGCGCTCGCACTCCCCTCACCCCGCTGCCAGCTGCCCCTTTCTGCGCCCTCTCGTTATGGCTGCTGCAGATAGGCGATTCAAACCCCGTCCTTCCCTCTCTGCGCTTTATAGTTTCCATATTAGTTTCTATTTTTTGTTCTTCGCCTGCTGAACAACCCACCCCACTATTATGCGAGGGAAAAGGACTCCAACTCCGATGAATCGGAGCTGGGGTTCTCACCCCGAGCCAGCTGGGCGGTGGGCCAGAACCACCGACGAGGCCAAAGCGTGTCCCGCGACTTCACAATCTGCCCTAACCACCTTTTCGGGCCTCTCTTAGTCATATATTATTTTTTGGTGAGGGGTGCGCCTCGGTGCGAGGCGGATGTTGGGACGCGGAAGCTATTGTCGCCCTTGTCCTGGCCGCGGAGCCGCACGTGGCTCATCACGCTGCTTTCACCAAAGGCTCCGTCCTTTCGATTTTTTTTTGTTTCACTTTTTAACAACATCACGCGACATACTCGTGATTCATATCCTTTTACGAGTGCATTTCAGTAGCAAGAGATCATGCATGGACACCGAAAACGCTTGGACTGTCACTGCCGGTTGGCTTGTCAACTTACATATGGAGTGCCAACGCGCGCTTCTGTCTTTGCGAGTGATGAACGTGGTGCGGGTTCGTTCTGCATGGCGCACTGTCGTGACCTAGGGTGACGGTGGGGAGGGTCTGACGGATGCCCTACGAAATGCGAAACTGGAATCAGCAGCGGGTAAATAGCGAGCCTTGCGAGTTGCGAACGGCGCAACAGGAGCTGGAAGAGATGTAGGAAGTGGCACGGCTAACATTTTGAGGGACGGTGCGATGAACCGAACCGGAAAGTGGTGTGTGCGGCCGGGTCGGCGTTCTCTACAGATACGGCATAGAAGTTACCCGTCTACGTTCGCCGGTGCATTTGCACCGTTGATGAAGTTGACGAAAATTGTATGGTTTGATTAAATTTTCCTGTTCACCATTTGGACTATTCCTCGCGTTACCTTTCAACCGTTGGTTCGAATCCCGGCTGCGGCGGCTGCATTTCCGATGGAGGCGGAAATGTTGTAGGCCCGTGTGCTCAGATTTGGGTGCACGTTAAAGAACCCCAGGTGGTCAAAATTTCCGGAGCCCTCCACTACGGCGTCTCTCATAATCATATGGTGGTTTTGGGACGTTAAACCCCACACATCAATCAATCAACCTTTCAAACGTTGTCGTCTGAAGGGGAATCACGTTTCCACAACCAGTCAAATACGAATACTTCATAACGGTGACCTTCAGATACGGGATCGAACTATAAATATTTTCTCGCTTATAAACAACGGGAGAAGTCCTGCGAGGAGTCCGTTTTCTGTAAATGTCTGATTACGTTATTTATTAGACACGTATCCAGGCAATCAGAACGTCATTATATTTACTGCCATTTATACGGGCAGTCTCTCCGATTTACAATTGGCGAAGGGTAAGTTACAAGTTTAGCTTTCTGCCATGCACTACAGCTGCGAAGTTTAGTGTCAGTGCTCGTTCCCTTGACTCCCACTCAACACTTATTTTTATTATTTTTATTTTTCTGCACGGGGAACATTATTGACCGCCAGACAATACCTTTGTCGTATGTATACCTCTTTGCTCCTGTCCCGCATATCTCCGAGCATGTAAAGGAGGAGGAGGAGGAGGAGGAAGGGAAGAAATGTAAAAAAACTGTAAATAGTTGTCTGATGTTGGGAACACAGACCGGCGATGTATATTCATCGTGCTACAGTGTCATGCTGACTCGCCTCAGGATAGGGTGACATTTTCTAAAGTGCGTGATGATATATATATATAAGCACGTGATGGAAGTAAGAGATTTATAACGGGCGGAGTGACTTCTGCTTGACTGATAAAGTTTGTTAGTTGGTTATGAGGTTTAAAGAGCCCGACAACCAACTTTTATGGCACTTTTTTTGTTTCGTGTAGAGCAACCGTATGCCCACCGGTCAGAGTATCTAATCACGCAATGGTAAGGCGGACGACGCCACGAACTGTTTATATTCCAAGTTTTCGATGTGACAACTTTGAAGTCGCATACACACAACGTACGTGTTGCAAACTGCGGGAAGTGAACGCGGGAGTTATTCGCGTTTGTGCAGGGCGCTTCGCTGTGCATGCGCATTGATCGTGCATGCGCCACGGCTCAGCATGTTCCACTAGGCAGCACCACTTCTCAGCGTCCATTTACCTAGCAAGCAGCACAGATACAAGCGGGGATGGATATGAGAGTACGCACACTCTAATTTTGCGGGCTTTATAATTATTGCGCGTGCATGATAGCATCAGGCGACGGGCCGAGAAATGAATGACTCAATAATCTACAGCTTCGAGGCTCTTCTATTATAGGCTGCGCGCTATACCGGTATTTTTTTTTTGAAGCTTCTCAACGCGATCGACAAATATAAATCCTACTCACTTCGCAAAAAATTTGCTTGATTTTGTCTTTATGATTCGTAGGCATTACATCTTCACAAGGATCTAATCAAATAATGTGGCAAGCTGTGGATTCCCTTAACATTGCAGAGCGACTGAGGTTATGATCAACAACGTAGTGGAGAGCTCCAGATATTCGACCTCCTGGGGGCTTCTTGACGCGCTCTGACGTCGCGTAAGCGATGTCAGAGCGGCGGTTGCATATCATTCCACCTGGCCTTTAATGACTCCATTTGCCATTTGGCCTTTAGTGATATGCAACCACCGCGGCAGGGAACCAACGAGGAAGGGAATTCTCTACTCTCACGAGTAGGAACTCACAACGGCGCTGTAGAACGTTGGCAGGCTTAAATTTTCTCATTATTTTCTGTTATCTCAATATCATATTTACACGTAATAATTGATGGTACGTTAATGGTCTCCTGACGTGTGAAACTGCGTGTGACGTTAACGTAAGTATCCATAAAGCTGCCGTGTTCGGAACTGCCTAATATACTATTTTAGAAATATATACATTTAAATAAGTTGATTGCGGGGAACAAGTAATACTAGTGCAACTAATCTACGTGATGAATCGCTGGTGAGGAAAAATATGACAGATTTCTAGTCACCAAGAGTATTTTGTATCGACAACGTGGAACAAGAATAAGGAGCGAAATGTGAAATTTCAGCAAATGTATATGCTGCTTAGACGACTCGAAGTTTACAATTCAACCTCCAAGATTTTATTTCCTATCAGCAGTTGCACAACCAACGCTTACTTTATTCGTAAATGACCTGTTTGTTTGCTCCCGCAGACGTAAGTAGTTACGTTTCGCAGGAAGGGTGCTGACAAAGGTGGTATGATGCGGAATAAAAAGGCTGCGGTGCACTTCTTTCGATCACCATATTGCTCTAGCTAAGCTACAAGAAATAAAAAAAAGTTTCGATAAGTGAGCGAGTGAGTGAGTGAGTTTCAGATAAAGATGCCTGACTACACTTTGTTCAGGATATCAGTAAAATGTCACAGTGAAAAAAAAAATCAGCTTGAACGCGTGAGTGGTGTGCCCAAGTTTGAAGGAACCACGGAGCTTGCTGAGCGACCTTCCTAAGTCTACCAGTCAAGCCTAGCCTGCAGATAGCCGCTTAAGGCTCGAGCGTAGAGCAGGGCAGTTAAGTCTAGCAAAACGAAATTGAGACACTTTCTTTCTTTTTTTCTTTCTTTCTTTCTTTCTTTCTTCTTTCTTTCTTTCTTTCTTTCTTTCTTTCTTTCTTTCTTTCTTTCTTTCTTTCTTTCTTTCTTTCTTTTCTGTCTGTTCCTATCGCTTTCCTTCTGTCAGTATCACTTCCTATTTTTCCTCTCTATTGTATTTCTTTTTATCTCCTTCTTTTCTCTCGTCCACCGCAACGCAACCATTCCCACAAATGCGTGTTGTGCTACCGTGCGTGGATAGCCGAGAGATTGCGGCGCTCGCCCTCAGACCCGGGAACGAATCCCGCCCCACGAAGAAAATTTATTTGGCTTTATTTATTTAATCTCTTCCTCCCCCGCTTCCCATGTCCTCATCTGCTCCTTTCCTCTCTCCTCTCCACGTTACCGAGCAGAGTTTTCGATTAACGCTCGCCTCTCTCCTCCATCCCGGCACATTCATCCGGCAGCACTGCTAGGTTTTACTAGGTTCTACTCTCTCCCACTTCAGGCACCAACCTAAGCACCCACCGTTATCCATCACACTCCTTCCATCTGCTCTGTCCCTCCACTATTCTTCCCTTTCTCTCGCATCTAAAGCACTCGGTAGTTGGGCTTGCCCAATCCCTGCGGCCCATACCCTCCAGAGTGAGTGCGGACACCCCCGCACCTACCTCGAGCTTAAAGGGCTCCGCTTTTGAAACATAGCACTGATTCTGACGTTTCCACCGAGGACCGGTCTTTCCCTTTCTTTCAGAGAGGCCGGTGATCCCCGGTCGAAACGTCACAATAATTACGGTGGTCACTGTGTCTATATAGTCGTGCGATGTTGACATGCTCTTAACATCTCCGGCTATACCCTACGCGTGTCAACTATAGCTGTTGGACGTTTGGCATTGGCTGTGCGTCACATAGGAAGAATATCTCAAGAAAGCCAATAGCACGCGGCCGCGCATTCTTCGTATAGACACACAGTGATGGAGCACGCGAATAATAAGCAGCGCGTGCGTCACGTCGGCGCATATTGTACGCCCTTCCGCATAGTCGTAAAGGTACACGTTGTAAAGTGTCTTCGCCCGAGCATACAGAAAGGGGTCCCGTCGTCTTTCTCCGTCATACGCTGTCGTCGTCACGACGTGGGGGCTTTCGTCAAGCACGCACCGAGTCGCGAGCACAAAAGGACAACTCGCACAAATATTGCGCGCGTGCGCTGATAGGTATTTTCCGACCAAGTGGCTGTTCCGACATTTTTTAAGAAGCCAAAAAGTCGTTGCAGATTGACACCAACCATTCTGCATAATAATGCTAAGCATTCCTCAGCAATCTTCGGCGACTTTGAGCGTATCTATCTATCTATC